ATCCTACTGTTCGGTTTTCTAGATTTGTACCTTAAGCAAAGGCTAGTTTAAGAGTTGGTAAATCAATCGGAATATATGTACCTTAAACTAATGACCTAGCTTAAGAGTTGGTTAGAAGTACCTTAAACTCTAATAAGTTTAAGAGTTGGATAAAAGTACATTAAAACTAGAATTAGTTTAAGAGTTGGATAGAGGTACCTTAAACTAGAACTAGTTTAAGAGTTGGTAAACATCAAATAGATTGGCCTTAGACTAAGAATAGTTTAAGGATATTATTGAATGAGGATGTTGAATGTTGAATATGAATATTGAATAACGAATGTTGAAAATTGATTATTGTATATTTGAACTGAATACTTTGTGCATGATATCAAATTATTTGATTATGAATTTGGATTCAATTTATATGGATGTTCGACGCATTAGATATGCTTACTCAGCTTCACCGCTGAGCGTGTAGTATGTTTTATTTGCTACACGCAGGTTAATAGAAAGAATGATGTGACGTGATTCTGGAGGTAGACGGAGGCGAGATTGTCGGAATGGATGTGATGGTTTTGAATTAAAGAACATAAACAAATTATGTTTGTAATTATGATTTGTTAAGCTTCCGCAATATTGAAAACTCTGCACTGTATATGTTACGAAAAATATTATTGTGATGAATAAAAGTGTTTGAAAAGTTTTAAATTTTACGATTACCAAGTTAATACTTCAGTCTGAAAGGGGCTGCAGACCTGGACGGATTAGGGTGTTACAATTTGGTATCAGAGCAAATGGTTTTAAAACCGATCTTCGGATCAAAATTTGAATTTAAAAAAAAATGTGTCAGTCACATTCACGACTCTCGCATCCCTCTGCTCCAGGAAAGGTATGAGAATTTACTTGGTAAATATTGACTCTGTTAGAATTCTCATTAAATAAAAATTGTTAGTTCTAAAATTATATCGAGCGTAGACTCAAGTAGAAATTTTCGTACTCGGTGAAGAGACGAAAGAATGAACGAAAAATATATGACCCTCATATACGTTATCAACGTACATTTCGCATCGCAAGTGACAAAACTGATCTGCATCGCAAAATTGTACGAAAGTGAGACGACTATGAAGAAACGATAAATGTTGAGAAACATCTGTGAAGGTGATGTCAAAGATCCTCATGTGGACTCAAGACGATCTAATCGTTGATTCAAACACGAACGTTTAGAATCAAGAAACTCTGTTATCTATAGTATCCGATATTATTGTTTGACTCATTAGGACACATTATGCGATTACTTGATGTGAATCAAAATCGTTCGTTAAGCGGCAATTCTTTGTAAAACATCGTTGAAGTCCCATACAAGGAAATCGACATTATCCTTAGTATGCATTAACTGACTGAACGTCGTTGCTGTTGTCAACTTGTGATGAAGAATTCCTCAAGTGAAGACCAATGATGGTAACCTTATAGAGGTGAAAGCAAAGCTGATTTCTAAACCGACCAAGTTCATCTCGAATATATATATGCGAAAACATCTCAAGTGTGAAATCTATTCGTGCGATACCCAAAAAGAAATATCTGAATTGAAGGAACATACCGAAAGTATGTCACCTCTCTGATATGAACTTCCTTATGTTTCACCGTTNATCTTTGAAAACTATAGTCTGTGAACTACGTGACTCGATCACAATAGTAAAACTACCCTGACTTGAACATTATGTTAAACCTCTCTAGGGAACTGCTGCGAAACAGTTAATGCAATTACGTTATCTATGAATATTATTATCAAGAAACTCTGTTTTGACCCTAACAAAGGAATATATGTGCAACGACTAGAGAAGAAATGACGTCACAAGGATCAAGCTAAAATTTTTCAGAGCGAAAATCCCCAACCTATATATAATATTGGAGTAAGAATAGTAAGATTTCTTACTTTATGAATTCGTGAATTGAATCTCATACCGAATATATTTTCTTCTTCCCTCGAAACGAGATTAACCATAGTGCTAAAAACGAACCTGTCATTATCATATCTTGATCGAAGTAAGGAAGTCGAATATGATTAAACAAATACGAGACAAAGCTCGAATGTGAATTGTTACGAAGGCTCATTAACGGTAATGAGAACTATCACGAAGATGAACGAAGGAATGTTTCAAATACGAGATCGATAATGACTGTACAACGAGTAGTACCTCCTCATAATGTATGATAAATCCCATATCTTGAAAATCTTGGACCACGAAAAGCCATCTGATGTTACTTACAAATCATTTCTGAACTATATGAATAATGTAAATATGTCTTGAATGACTTGGATGATTTCGCTAAAACGTATGGATTGAAACAACCTCGGAATCTCCCACTACATCTATTGTTATTCAAAACTACAAATGCTGCTAAGGGACTTTCAATCAAAGAAAGAATGTTGTTGACTAATGACATGCAATCGAGATTTGTGAATGAACGAAATGATGTACAAATATGTCAAGTATGCTCCAAAATACGATGTTATACCTTGCAAACGAACTTAGGTTATGGTTGTTGAATCTGAGTGGGAACCTACGAAATGTTAAACGTTGACCCTTAGAAGAATTTCGAGGACGAAATTCCTTTAAGGGGGGGAGAAATATAACGCCCCAAAACATACCCTAAAATTTTTAATGAATAAATATTCAATTAGTCAAATTTGTTTCGATTAAAATAAATAGTTATTGGTTTTTGGGCCGAAATGAGATGTGTTTTGATATCCAAAATCTTAATCTGGATAAATCTCATAGAGATAAATCCAATATGTTGAATATTTGTGTGGTCTTGATTGGGAACATGAATACAGACCCAAATCAAGAATAAATAAAGAAATTAGTTATGTAGTGAACTTTGAAATGATTTATTGAAATAAATCATGGAAATAAATAATATGAATTGAATATGA